GCGCGGGCTGAGCAGGGCTGAACTCTGTCGGCCAGGATCCTAACCCGGCGACTGGAAGCCTCTCCTGCCTGCTCTGGCGGGGTCGAAGGGCCTGAGGTTTGTCCGTCTCTGCGTCGCGTTTCCGGTTCGTCTCTCGCCGAGTGAGGGAGCCGAGGTGCAGTACCGGTGTCTCTCCACCAGAGGGCGGTGTGTGCGTGTGAGAGTCTGTTGTACCCCTACAAGAGAGACCACTGTGGCCAGTAGATGCCTGCTGAACCCTCGCCACGCTGCTGCGATTCTCGGGTTTGTGGGCTGAACTCTCCCTTGGACTGAGCGTAAGTTCTCCGACACGTTTGCCGGATTCTTCACCCGTCTGTCTGTGCTGAACTCTTGCCTGTACTCGGCTTCAACACTCAGATCTGTGTGCCGAACTCGCGTCTGTCTTGTGCTTCCTGGATTCACTGATCGGGTTGGTAGGGTGTTGAATACAGTGTGTGTGTGTGTGTGCGCAGATTCGTCGGTATCCGTGCTCTTGGACAGAGCCGAGCTATTTGGACTGTTAACAAGCAAAGTGCCGAGCTCTGACTGGAGGTGACTGTGAGTCTCGTGTTTCCCCCAGTGCCCAGGCTGTGCTCTCTGCTGTCAGTGTGATCTTCCCAATACCCTTACCTGTAACTGAGCTTTAATACTCCGTGACTCACCTGTGTGCTGTGTGCTTTAATACTCAAATACTGAACGGTGCACTGGACTATAATACTGAATTCTCTACTGTACTGCCCTTTAATAATACAGATCAGTGTGCTGTACTGAGTTTTAATACTCAATTGACAAGCCGGTTTTCTGAACCCTTGTAGTGTGCTGTAATACTCACATCTGGACTGAACTCGCCTGTAGTGAACTTGAATTCTCAAACCTGTGCTGAGCTTTAAGATTTAGTGACAAACCAGTTTTCTGAACCCTCATCTGTAGTGAAATTGAAGTCTCAAACCTGTGGACTGAACTGTATTATGCTTTAGAATTAGAATCTCAGTGCTGAACTGTCACCTGTAGTGTTGTAGTACTCAAACTTGTGTACTAAACTCTCATCTGCACTGAGCTTTGACACACCATGTGTGAAGAACTCTGACTTGTACAGTTGTAATACGCAAACCTGTACTGTACTTGAATACTCCAATCTGTGTGCTGGACTCTCCTGCACTGAGCTTTAACACTCAGTGACAGACCTGTGTGTTGAACGCTTGACTGTAGTGTGTAGTAATGGTTGGCCTGTGTCCAAAACTCTCCCTTGAACTGTTCGTTAATACTGAAACCACTGTTCTGAACTCTTCCCTTTGTTAGGTCTCTATCTTTC